AATACTGTAAGGCATATTACCTCCAAGCACAGTAGATGGCATGCGATTAATCAAAAAGCAAGCCGTGGAGACCGCATCAGCCCAGAACTGTTTAGGAACTTTCATTTGGAACAGAAGTGCCCGAGCTGTCTCAAGTAGATGCCTATTCTTCCTTTCAGCAACTCCGTTTTGAGAGGGTGTATCAACACATGAAGACTGATGTATTACACCATGTTGTCTCATGTAGGACTGGAATAACTCTGACATGTATTCTTTAGCATTATCACTCCTTAGAGCACGCATCGAAGCATTGAATTGAGTTTTGACTTCAGCACAAAAGGCAGAAAAGTGAGTAAACACTTCAGAGCGACTCTTCATAAAGTAAATCCAAGTCATTCGGGAAAAATCATCTACAAAAGTGACAAAATACTTATGTCCAGTTTTAGAAACAATAGGACATGGTCCCCAAACATCAGAATGAACTAACTCAAAAGATGACTCAGCTCGCTTGTTAACCCTTGGACCTAACGAGATGCGATGATGTTTTGCAAATCGACATGACTCACAATCCAATGAAGAAATATTATGAAACTGAGGACAGAGCTTCTTCAACAAAGGTAAAGAGGGATGCCCCAATCGACAATGTGCTTCAAAAGGAGACACGATACTAGAGCATGCAATAGACTGTGGCTCCCATTCATCAAGGATATAGAGATCACCGGATAAATACCCTTTACCAATAATTTGCTTCGTCGTAAGATCAAGAAACAAACAATGATTGGGAAAGAACGCTGCACAACAATTAAGGTCTCTGGTGATTTTACTAACAGAAATCAAATTAAAGGCCAAGTTTGGTAGACTTAATACAGATGACAGGGTAATAGAGGAAGTCGATTTAACAGTCCCAGATCCAACACTGCTACATGTTGTTCCATCAGCTATAGTAACTGAAGAGGGTGCTTTGTGTGATCGAAATCTAGAAAAAATATGTGGATTACCTGTCATGTGATTTGTGGCACCTGAGTCAATCACCCATTTATTTGAAGAGGTGATAAGACATGTCTTATCTGGCCCGTCAAAAGCAGTAACTGAAGAAGATTCCTTAATTGATTTATGATATTGAAGGAACTCAAGAAACTCATCCGAAACTAGGATTGTTGGACTAGAAGTTGTATCACTATTTCCTCCTTGCTTACTATTTATGGTCATCTTTCCAAAAATCCCCAAAGTATCAATATAAATGTCAGAAAAGCCAATAAAGCTCAAAAGTTCTCCACCAGAATAACACTATCCAACGAAACAGCGTAGGAAAGACACCCAATAAAACAAAGAAACAGAACTCCAATAGAGCCAATCTAATGGGCAATAACCAATCAAAAGTCCGGCCAATAGTGTAAGAATCATTAACCAAGAATCAGTAACCAACAGATTAATCTCAAAGCTATAAAAAAAAAGGGCCAAAGTTCTGCACACAAAGTTGGTTCACTACTAAGGATCAGGCAATCACAGTAGGAAATAAAATTTGAACACAACAGAGAAAAGGTGACAAAACCTTAACACTATGAACCGAACCTGGGACGGTCAGAGATTTTCCCAGTCGAGGTTTCCTGAACAAACAAACACCATAAGTTGGACGAAAATGTAAAGTCGATGCCGGAGAGATGGTTAAACTTCAAATTCCAAACCCTTCAAAAGTATTCTGACCCTAACTGACAGTTCCGGTAAGTTCTCTATCTAACTCCGGTAAAGCCGGAGAACCCGCTCTGATACCATGTGAACGAAATAGAAAGAATAACTTGTGTTCTCATTCCAAGAGGTGAGCAATATAAATACATGTACATCAGATGCTAACTAAGGAAAGAAATAAAAGAGATTCCTACAAATCTGCTATTTATGTACACTACTAAGAAAGAGTCTACATTCATTCTATAATAAGTGTCTAGATTCATCCTATAATAAGTGTCTAGATTCATTCTATAACAATTTTCAATGTAACACTATCAAATCAATTGCTCTTTGAGAAATCTATCATTTACCAAGTTATCTTGATAATAATTGAATCAAATAATGGTGAATAATTTAAGTAATCAATTAAAAATTGATTATTTATAACATGAAATAAATTCTTTTACTTAACAAAAGAAAACTACCAATCAAACTAGAATGTAAATGCAAAGAATTAGATTATTATAATAGCAAAGAACTAGACTAAAAATACAAATGACTAATATGTACCATAAAATTTTAGAAACTTTATATAACAATATACATATATATATATAGGTGTAATAATAAATTTAAATAGCTACTTTTATAGTCGGTTTGGTTCGGTTTTTTCCGATTATTTTTTGATTAAAACCAAAACCAAACCGAATTTGATCGGTTTTTAAAATTCAAAACCAAAACCAAACCAAACCTAAAAAGTATCGGTTTTTTTGGTCGGTTTGGTTCGATTTTTCGGATTTTTATGAACACCCCAAACTGAGGCTTAAAATGGAGCACAATTGGGGTAGGAAAATATAGAAAGGGATTTGGTTCTTCAAATTTTGAAGGAAACAACATATTTTATCAGAAATGTTTAATCGACTATCAAGATTCAATTTTTTGTAATTGAAAAATGAATAAGAAAATGCTGACTATTCACTCTGTCCTAATTTATGTGGCGGTGACGAGGCACAAAACTTATTGTCTAAAACAAATCATAGAAATTTGTATGACTATAAATTATCTCATTAAAGGGTTAAGTAAGAAGTTTACAGTTAAATAGTTTCTAAAATAAGAAAGCATGACATTTTTTTAAAGACAGACTAAAAATGAAAGGGCAAATACATAAGTAGCCCCTTAAACTTGTTCAAAAATTTCATATAGACACTTAAAACTAAGGCTATGACCTATTGAGCACTTCATCTCTATTTAACTCGTGTTATTAGACACAAAAAACTGAACGGACAAGAAAATAGAATGCGTGACCTTCACACGCCAATGACATGGCAAAGAAGCTAATAAAATGAAGACACGTGGCATCTCAAAAATGAAAAAGATTTATTAGCATAATTTTTTCAACTCTCCCCGCGGTTCTCTTTTTCTTCCCAGAAAATTACTTGGGGTTCTCTTGCTTTAGAGCTGTAGGTGTCACCATTTGCTAATGGTAGCGGAAATCGATGATAAAATGGGAGGACACGAGGGCAGGCAAAGATTCATCATGTTCTCGGCGGTGGATCGAAAGTTGGTAGTGGCAGCCACAGGCAGCGCAGTTGAGCGAGGTGGGATCGATTGCAGTTGCCTTCTGCAATGGCTAAACTCACTAGTCACCACGTTGTATTCTTGAAGTTTTCCTTGTGAAAATTTGTGTGATGAGCCAGTATCAAGCTTTACCGGTGAAAGGATCCAGAAGTTTGTGCACTTGTGAGTGCAGTCATCCATTGTTACAAGCCTAGGTCCATTATCTTGGTTGTAAATCAAAGATGTTTTCTTTTTTGTCTTATATTATTTTGCAATTCAACATTTAATATAGTTTTATGGGACTTTGCAAATTGGGATTATGTAAGTAGATGGCGATTTGGCATTCCAAATTCGATTGTGGCTGAATTTTAAGGATAAAAAATGGAGTTTTTCAGTATATTGAGGTTGTAGAGGGAGTAATGTCATTTGGTTTCGTTGGTGAAGAAGATGACTGTTTAAACCTTTTTTTTTACCTAGTAATGCGCTCAAATTAGGTGAAAGTCACTCTTTGTGCCAAATCAGCTTTTTGTGTCTAATAGTACAGTTTAAATAGAGATGGAGTGTTTAATAGGTCATTGACTTAGTTTAGGTGTCTATATGAAATTTTTGGACAAGTTTAAGGGGTTGTCTATGTATTTGGCCAAAATGAAAGTATGACACATAAATTGGGATAAAGGAAGTAATATTTTTCTTATGTGCTTTTTGTCATTTTAATGTGAGGAAAATTATAACATAATTCTTTATAATTTCAGAATATGAAAATTTTGATTTTAAAAATGAAAATAAATTTAGTCCGATTGAATACAGAGAATTGATCTAGGAGACTTTTAATAAGTGAAAAGTATCATCAAACAATAAAAAGAGCTCGACCCTATTGCTAATAGACGAACTAAATTAATAAGATATTAATATTAGTACGATAATTTTCTTTGCACCAGCATATCCGTGGAGGAAATTTTAAATTAGCAATTAGATTAATAAGTACATCACAAATTTGAAAAAAGCACTTTTTTCATAATTACCATAAACCATCTTTTAATTATTCTTTAACATTTCTTGGTCACCTTCAGCTTAACCATTCGACCGCCTGAATTCTTGAATTGTATAATTTAATTGCATATATTCCAAATTCAAAACTATTTGTTTGCATTTTTTTTAAACTATACAAATGAGTAGCTAAAACATAATTTGTTGAACAGGTTAATTATATTTACAATCAAAATTATTTGTTTATCTTTGTGTTTCCTATGTTCTGGGCGAAATTATTTTGTGGATTGATTTGAGCTAGCTATATAACCCAAGTTGACCAACTTTTTGATATATTGATTTGACTTAACTCATTTTAACATTTACATCAAAGCGAGCAACAATGTGAAGAAGAAATGATTAATCTCATATAAAGTTCGATTTTAATGGGAATGTCACAATTATTCTACCTGGTGGCGGGCGCCCAAATGACTCGTGATGGGTGTTTTGATTATTCCAAGTCGAGATTGCAGTCTTCACATTGTCAGACCCAATTTTTTTTTAAAAATAAGTACACTTTTGATCAAATTACACATACATCCTCAAATACCAATGGTAGAGGAGATTAACTCCTACCTAAATACTGATAGGTTCTTTTTACCCTTTTTTCTCAATAAGAGTTTCCCCTCGATATAAAGAATTAACCCAAATAGTCATCCACCTAATCACTTAAACTAAAAATAGCCAGCGAATATATAATATATATAAAATTCATGTATACTCGACTATTTATGTAACAATCCCATATAATTACCCATCAGTATACAAGTAACTTCACTATTCCTGGAGAGTTCTGATGCAATATATAATAAAATTCAATTGATTACCAGTAATTACAAATGCATACTGTTTCCACTACTAAAATCACAATCACTCTTCACAAGCAGATCTTAAAAGAACATGACAGTGTTCAAATCTTTCACTCATATACAGAAGAAAATCAAAGATGCAATTTTTACAAGATACTCGAAAAGAATACACATTAATCAAGCCAGATAGCATACCGATTGGTCACATCCCGTGAATCAAGTCTTTGACAGACCAAATATGAGGACAAAAGTAGCAAGAACAGCCTGCAATATGCAATATATTACGTCGTATTAAGCTAGAAGGTAGAAGGAGATCATCATTGTTAGGTGCTTGCCATTTCACCAATAACATCTTAAGGCAAGTATCCCTGAACCAAGAGACCAAAACAATATGCATTCTAATATTGATCTTAGTTGATCGACAAAGATTTAGAAAAGAGGAGGAAAAAGAATGCTCCTCTTCGCCTCAGTAGATAGCAAAGGCGTATTTAGTTTTCAGCTTAAGATTCAAATCCCTCATTATTAAACCTGCTCACCCAGTGCGACACAAATTTATAACTAATTTAACGAAAGCTGAAACAATTGCCTAAGAGAAAAAGATGACTTACGGCAATGGTGCATGTAATGTATCCTGGTTTCTCTCGAGGATCAATTTGTGCACAAAGCAGGACAAAAGCAGCAAGATACCAAGGGATTCCAGCAAGAAAGAAGCCAATTATGAACCTACAAAAATGAAAAGCTCATTATTCATTATTATCCTGTGAGACAGCCTTATAGCCTGTTTGGCCAAGCTAAAAAGCACTTTTGGCCAAAAATTGAGGTGTTTGGCCAAAGCTTTTGGAAAGAAAAAAAGTGCTTTTGAGGAGAAGGAGAAACAGTTTTGGAGAAGCAGAAAAAAGTAGCTTCTCTCCAAAAGCACTTTTTTGAGAAGCACTTTTGAGAAAAATACACTTAGAAGCAGTTTTTTAAAGCTTGGCCAAACACTAATTGCTGCTCAGAAGTGCTTTTCAAACTAACTAGCCAAACACAAACTGCTTCTCACCAAAAGTACTTTTGAGAAAAGCACTTTTGAAAAAAAGCACTTCTCAAAATAAGCTGATTTTTGCAGCTTGGCCAAACGGGCTATTAGTAGTACACATAAGGTCAAACTGCAGGATCATAGGGACCAAAATAAACTATGTTAATCAACTGACCAAGTAAGACAAGCTCTTTATCCCAGTGTTTTGGAGAGCGAGAAGCGGAAAAAGGCGAGGAGGCCTCGCTTCACCGAAGCGAGAAGCGAAAAGCGAAGCGCGCGCTTTTTTCATGTGAAGCGCAATTTAATACATAATAAAAAATATTAAATAGGCATAGATAAATGACCAAGAACTCAAAAAAAATACTCCCTCTGTTCCAGTTTATGTGAACCAATTTCCTTTTTGGTCCGTTCAAAAAAAAATGACCCCTTTCTAAATTTGGAAACAATTTAGCTTAAACTTACAATTCTACCCTTAATGAGAAGCTTTTATAACCACACAAATACTCTAGGCCCCTTTTTAACTTGTTTAGGACCACAAATTCAAAAAGTCTTCATTTTTTCTTAAACTCTGTGCCTAGTCAAACAGGTTCACATAAATTGGAACGGAGGGAGTAACATATTAAGCAAACGTTTCAATTCTTAAAATAACATTGGACTTTTGTGCTATTGCCAATTGCAACTCCATACGCCCAAGCTGGAACTTTATTTTGGCTTGATGCCATTGGATAATGAGATAGAATTTACAACAATCACCAAAAAAAAAAAAGAAAAAAACAGAACTGGTAGAATAGGGCAGAACCAGTGAACAACAGTTTTTTTTAAAAAAAAAGAGCAGTAGCATAACTAGAAAACAGGGTAGAATAGAGAAAAGAAGAACTGAAAAGAATTAGAAAGAAGAAGAGAAAGAGAAGACGAGAAACGAAAGGAGTCGAGAGGAAGTAGGTAAACTGGAGAAAAGCAGAAGAGGAAGAGAAGAGAAACTTACCTTGAGAGAATAAGAAAAGAACTGAAGAAGAGATGTCACATGATGTTTTGGCTTGTAGCAGTAGCGAGAAATGTTTTGGAAGAAAGGTGCGTAAGTGTATTTGCAAACTTTTTTAGAAAAAAACCCTAGGCAGCAACTGGACCTCGCTTAAGCGAGCTTTTCTCGCTTTTTTTCCTCGCCTCGCTTCTCGCTTTGTTGCCTGAAGCGCTCGCTTTTTTTCAGATGCCTCGCTTTTGGTCAGACAAGCGCAGACCTTGCGCCTCGCCTCGCTTCAGCGCTTTAAGCGAGAAGCGCTCGCTTTTAATAACCCTGCTTTATCCTAACATCCACTCAACAATGTTCGTTAAACATAAATGGATCTAGTATAACAACTGTCAAGAAATCGAAATCTGACTAAAAAGTTCAACAGAAGCTCTTGTATCATTCATCATTCTGAAACTTTAGGTCCGATGGCTTGTTCTTTATCTCTGTTGTGAATGATATCAGTATAAATATGCTGTAGAAATTTTATGTTTCCTCCTTCCTAGTCCTAGAGTATGAGAAGTTTCGTCACAAAGCTCCTTGCCAGCGAATGAACGAAACCAAGAAACTGCAGGAGCTTTCTTTTCCCCTTCTTTTTTGAGGTTTTCCAACCAATAAAGAAGAAGGAGAAACCTCAGAGGGGAAATTGAAGATTATATCAAGCATCATTGAAGCCTCAAGCCACTGAATGGAATGAATTAATCAATTCACTTTTTGTTTAAATGATTCTTTTCAAGATGCAGTTATTTGTTATTTCTACCCTGAACATGCTGTCTTGGATGAGAATATGAAACATCAAGACCACAAAGTTTCCAGCATGCTTTCAAGGAACGCAGTCGTGACTTTACTTTCAATACACATATATAAGAGCACCATGCAGTTTATAAGAAACACAATTGGTGTATCCACTTGTGGAGAAAGTAGATCGCAGAAGGAGAAAATACAATGATGGAGCAGAGGGATAGCGAAGATAGACCATAGGCGTAGCTTCCATACACATAAAAGCAAGTCCATAGACTCAGTGGCGGATCCAAGATTTTATGTTCACAACTATTTGAACATGACGATAAAAAAAGTTAATAGAAAAACTCATATTAATATTATGGACGGGTGTAACGAAAAATACAACTTGCGACAATTTTTTTTATGGATTTTGCCACTCTAGAAGAACGGTTTTGAAAAGGAGCTACTGGATTCTAACAAAAAGAAAGGGGGCTAACCAAGGTAAAAGGAAGAAAATGAGGCTGTAATCAGCATGGTTCGAACTCCCAACCCCTCCTCCCTTTTTTGAATCAGCGACTACCCCTCGATGACCAAAGCACCCATCAGCTTTTTTGATTGCTGGGTGCTTTCCTTCCCTTTTATATCAGATGTCTCAAATTTCCTATATAACTACACCTACTCTGTGTAAAGTTTAATGGGTGCCGAAGCACCCAAATTTAGTAAGTAGATCCGTCCCTGCATAGACTAGTGTTAGCAAAAGTAATAACCAGGAACTGTGTCGGATTTAAACTTGAAACTTGAGTGTGGAAGATAAGCAGTAAGTACCATAAGTTGCTAAAAACACAAAGCAATAACAATTCAACTTGAAATATGACTAATGATTTGCAAGAGAAAAGATAACGGGGAACTTACAGGAACCAGCCAAGACCAATACCACAGCAAGGAAGGCGATGCTCTCTTTCAGGTCTTCCCTCAGGATCAGAAACAGTATAACCTAAAATATCAAGAGAAGTAGCATAAAATTTCAAATCAAACTAGTTCAGAACTTCAGGTAAACATATAATATTGATGATCCAAATGAGCGAACTCACTAATAGTCTCAGTGTGCTTTAGAAGTATAAGACATTCATACTGCAGTACACAGAGTGCCTTACAAAATATACTACCTCCGAAATTAGATGATCACTGAACTATCAGAAATTATGAATCAAAGTCACTTTTCTTTCATTTGTAAAAAGAAAGTCACTCAATTATCCATATTGCACTCTGATGATTACTCTGTCGAATTGCTTAATATTTTCAGTGGTAAAAGCTGACTTGGCAGTCCACATGGACTTTTTATATTTTTGGACCATATAAAATAATTAACACCCAACCAAAACATAAAAACTCACCATAAATCCAACCCGACCTGGTAAAGGTAAACCCACCCCAAATAAACTTTTACTCCTAAATGCATCTCTCTTCCAAAAACTTTTGGATCCATCATTATTTTATATAACTCTTTTCTTCTTCGCTTGAACCATTAGAGTTTGTAACACATCATACTAATAAAATCAGTTAACTATTTTTTTTTACTTCGTTTGTTTAATATTACATTATAGTTCATTTGTAGCATTCCCGTTCTATTTTTTAACTTTTTTTTTTGTCTCACCTCTTTTATATAGAAGCATCCTTGCTGCTCCCCCTTGTACCCATTATTATTTTAAGGAGAAAAAATTAAGAGAATAAAAGACACAATGGTGGAACCAAAACAATATCGATTTGTTTTGGAAGAGAGATACGTTTAGGAGTAAAAGTTTGTTTCGGTGGGTTTACCTTTAATGGATCAGGTTGGGTTTATTTTTGTTTGAGTGATAATTATTTTATGTGGCAAAAAAATATTAAAAGTACATATAGATTGCGAACTAAGCTTTTTCCACCGGAAGTATTAAGAAATCCGACCGTATGCAATAGGGATAGTTGAGTGACTTTCTCGTTACAAATGAAAGAAAAGTGACTTTAATACATAATTTTCGATAGTTCAGTTATCATCTTAGTAATGGACTCAATAAATTGGAACGGAGGGAGTAATAGTCTCACACAGTGCCTTAATTCTTATTAGCCCTCCAATTTTTCCTACTAAATACAACTGATTCTTTGCTTAAACGATAGACTCAACAATAATCCAATATATAAAGTAACAATCCTGCAAGATTAATAGCCTGTTTGGCCAAGCTTCTCCAAGTTGAAAAGTACTTTTTTTTTCCTAAGTTGAAGTGTTTGGCCAAGCTTTTAGAAGAAAAAAAATGTGCTTTTGAGTAGAAGCAGAAGCAGAAAAAAGTAGCTTTTTCTCAAAAACACTTTTTTGAGAAGCGCTTTTGAGAAAAATACACTTAGAAGCACTTTTTAAAAGCTTGGCCAAACACTAATTGTTGTTTAGAAGCGTTTTTCAAATTAATTAGCCAAACACAAACTGCTTCTCACCAAAAGTACTTTTGAAAAAAAATAATTTTCAGAAAAAACACTTCTCAAAATAAGCTGTAATACCTCGAAATAGGTTATTTATTAAGTTTAGCATTTTTAATGCTGAGATGGTTTTCTCCGGCCAATCAATCAAGTACCAAACTAGTCGAGATCAATCAATTAGCTCTACCTCAATCCTAAACTAGTTGGGTTCAGAGGCGGAGTTAGCATTCCAACTTTGTGGGTTCTGAATTTTAGAACGACAACTTCACGTGCTAACTGAATTTCTTAACACAAATACACAGTTTGAGCAGAAGCTAATAACTGTGCCCCTGGTTGGATTCGAGATATAAATCCTTTAGACATTCCGTTTCTACAAGGATTCATCATAATTACACTATTGTTACCAACCTACTACAAGATTATTATCGACAAAATAAAGTCAACCCACCCATAATCACTGAAAAACGCAACAACAATTCACGAAAATCATGAATATCAGGTGATTTTTTTCGGCATCTGAATAATTAATTGCAGTAACTATTAAAATCATGAGCACAGTATAGGAGCAGAGGGTGGAAGAAGAACCTGGAACAGCCTGATAACCATGAGCATAATATTCAGGTGATGATGCGGTGACGCCAGGTGGAGGAACTGGCTGAGGAAAACCGATCACCGGTTGATGTGGTGGGTAACTGGTAGGTGCTTGAAAAGTTCCATATTCATGGGGAGGAGGCGGTGGTTGGTCTCCTTCGTGGCGGTGGTGGTGGTGGGGTAGGAAGTGGTGGTGATGACTGTCCTTGCTGTCTTCACTCATTTCCAATGATTGAATTCAGAAATTAGCTGTCGGAGTTTTCAAGAAAGTTCTAATAGTGAAATTTCTACAATGGAGAAAGGAGGAACATGTTTTGACTTTGGAATTTGGATTGATATCTGTGTTTTGCTTCCTTGGTGACCTGGCATTCGTCTGTACTTTGTAATAATTGACTAATCATGGCCCTCCACATCTCGAATAATAAATAGAAAAAAAATAGGAAACAAGAAAGTCACATTTAGATAAGTGTATTTTTATCAGCACGTTTGGATAAGTGTTTTTTCCTTGCAGATAGCAAAAGTAGAATTTTTTGTGTTCAAAAATATTGTTGCTGAAAAAAGATGTTCTTCATATTTGGGCAAAAGTCAAATTCACTGAAACAACGTCGTAACTTGTTAACATTATTATCAATCTTTGGAAATTTTTTTTATAGAAAATATTTTTCACTCTCCAATCAATTATTTTCAGAAACATTTTTCGAAAAAAATATCTTTCATCCTACCATACACACATGTACCTAGACATTTTTAACCTTAGGTATCCTTAGATGCATAAGATAAAATACGTTTTGATGCTGTTAAAGTGCACATCTTCAAGATGGCCCCTGCAATCTTTTTCCATCTATTTGAGCTTTTCAGTAATGTATTTTTACTTAGGCGCACTTCATTTGGCCTGGGGTGTATGTAGCATATACGTGACGGGTTCAACTGAACCTATAACTTTCGATGCGGCATAAATTTATGTGCAATACGTACTAAAATTGTAGAGTTGAGCCCATAGCTTTAAAAATATAATGAGTTTAATAGTAAAAATCTTAAAGCCTGAGCCCATAGAATTTAAATCCCGGATTCACATCTGCATTTGGCATTGTACCATGAAGTGTGAGTATAGTGGTAACCCTTTGCTTTGCTTCTGCTACAATTCTTTGCAGAAATTGTGAAAGTACTTTAACACCTTACACTATATGCACATTGTCATTAAACTTCTGAAAAATCTTCTTTAGTACTTCAGTGTTCATGTTATAACCTATAGATATAAGTGAGCTTGTGGTCTAAAGATTGCTAAAAATATAGAAAACTTTTGACAGAATAGGCAGTTGCATGTTTAGTCATTTATCTGCCGTCCTAATGCAAGAAAATCTTTCAGCCAAATGATTTAACTATAACTTTGGAGCAACCAACTAAGAAGAAAAGGATGTAAATTAAAAAAGAAAAAAAGAAAAAAAGATCACTATTCATATTGTGAAGTATCATATAAACACTCAAGATTCATATTATCTAAAGAAAGCTTTTGGAAACTCATTGGATGAACCATTATTCAACAGTATTAAATTTTATAGTCAGTTTTCAGTTCCAAATGTGTATATTCTGCTCTCTATTTACAGCCTCTAGCACCATGAAAGGATCAAATCAAAGACAAGATTTCAAGTCTCTTGCAATCCACAAAGCATGTTAAATGGAACCGCTACGTCCATCATTTTTGGATATGACAAATTCAAATCTGCTAGAAAAAGTGCTCTCATTAGCAACTAAAGATAAAAAGCTATTGAGAGGAAAAAAGGAAAGAATTTGAATGGTTTACTCACTTTGCATGATGTTTTTGAATGTTTCCTGCAAACATTGTTGTTTTAGTAAAAATGAGAAACAAGAGTTGAACAAGGTTTTCTTAGAAAAAGAAAGATAAATATACAACGGACATGTATAGTTAGAACTTTATGTAACTACAGTCAGCTCAATGGTGCAAATCGAAATTAAGTAGATTCCTTTTCACGAATGTAGTCACGACTGTAACTACAGTCATCAAGTTACCCAACTCCTTAACCACAAAGGCAAAGCTTAGCATGAAACTAAAACTATAGCAAAAACTACTAGCAGAGAAGTACCTTATCTTTTGAAAGGCGTGGATTATACAGCATCTCCTCACCCACTGTGCTGACCTGAAAATGAAATGCACCAGCGTAAAAATATGCAGCACTAGAAACAGCAAAAAAAGATGATAGGTGTATCCTTACGGTGAATCCCTTGTAGTCATGAGCCGGATACACCAATGTGTCTTTGGGCAATGTGAAAATCTGCTCTCACAAAGCGATGATGATCAGCAATAGTAGGGATAAGAAAAGAATGGATTCAACATTACATTCATTTTATTTTTCTTTTACAGGTAATAATATGCGTAAATGTAGAAGCTCTATTTCCTTGCCTGTGAATGAACAGAATCATATAATTTGCCTGAACTTCCGCCCTGCAATTAAGTAGGAAAATATGAGTAAACTTTGATACTAAAAGACAGAAAACACCATTTCATTTCCTGAGGCCCACCTCAAACTACTAACAAGTAAAGACCACTATTTTTCGAGCACAATGATGAAATTTGCTTTAAGCAATTTCCAGGATTTCAGAGGAAGGACCTGGAAACCTCGGCCAATTAAAGATTGAGATTTGTGTAACATAGTTTTTTGGTTTAACTATGTATATCTGACGACATCTAAGACCAGGATATTGTAAATATGGTAACATATTGTTCTTGATTTAGTGAAGTAGTTTGGGTGACATCTCTCTCTTAAATTTTCAGCAAGGGATATAAAATCCAAATATAATGTTACAGACAATGGTATTCAATAGTTTCCTTTGCCAAATAGAGCATTAACCCCATCCCTTAGATATTATAAAATCCAAATATAATGTTTACAGGCAACTACTTTTCAATAGTTTTCTTCACCTAATCCTTCCTTTCCTGGTCCCAAACAGAGCATTAACCCTAGCTCTCAAGAACATTCTCGATCTTTGAGCATCATTTACCTTTTGTAAGCTAGAAACTGATCAAAATCTTAGTTATTCAAGGAGCATTTAAATGTGCTGGAGCAGACGCTCTCAATTTTCTTTTGGCCCAAGGTCCAGAAGAATTTAGCTAAAATGACATACTGCACCATGAAGATGTACCTGAAAGTCTGTCCGTCCACATCCCCTTATCAAAAGAGTGTCACCAGTAAATGCCATTCTTGGCTGAGGCTGATTGGGTCCATCTCCTGTAACATAGGTAACACAGCCCAATGTATGACCAGGAGTTGCGCGAACCTGTACTGTAATGTATCAGAATGTAGCTCAAAGATGGAAAGTAAATTTCAGTGAGAAAATTGAACTAGAGCCAAATATTTGTCAATTTTTGGTAGGTAAATGCCTTCTACTACCTTTGTCCCATTTATTTGGTGGCTGTTCTTGTCATCTCTATCTATCCCAATTTATTTGGTCACATATTACTGAGGGAGAATTAATTATTGAATAATGAACTCTACCAGACTAACATATCACCATTCCAAGTATAACAACATTTGAGACTAAAAAGGCGGCAATTAATAAGATCCTAAACATTTTCCACTCAGTGTTTTGTACCAATATTTTAAATGGAATTTCCAATGCATTTCTTGTTTGACATGGAAATGAATTCTCAAGGAATTATATTTTCCTGGATGCTCCGCAGTCAGCCCATAATCACTGCACCAAAGGTGAAAACATTTTCATTCTTCTCAAAACCAGCATGTCGGAGGCACTAACCCTTTTCACATCAAACCAAATATCCAATTAAGTGTACATAAGAACAAAGTTCAACTCGGTTCTTTTTCCAAAATGTGTTGCCCACAAGGCTCACTTTAAAGCATTATCATCTTTTCTGAGACGAAAATCACATGGTCAACTGACAGCATTGTCATGTGTTTGCAAGTCGCTTAGATGTTTATGACATGACATAAGAATCGCACTAAATCTTATTGCAACGGGAACTTCATAGAACCAAATTCATTGTTACAATTTTCGACCTCTACAACCATTTGAACAATATCTAAACTTAAGTATCCTTTATATGCACACTTATCACCAAAAGAAGACTACTATCTTATATGCAAAAAACATATGTCTGCAGCATACCTCCAGAAAAATATCACCAAAATAGATTTTATCACCAGGTTCAACAAAAAGATCGGCTTTTGCATTACTTGCTTTGGAAATGATTGATTTCACATCAGGCACCTTAGTCTGCAAGAATGAAAACAATAATGAAGCACTAGAAAACAGGGTGGGGTGATGACAGTATCAAGAAGAAATTGTTGTTAATCAGTTATCACATTCGAAGAAAATAAATCAGACCTTAATCAAGCCGGTGCCAGTAACATGATCGGCATGTACATGCGTGTTTATAGCATATACAAGCTTCAAACCTAATTCTTTAACAAGTGCAAGATCACGATCCACTGTTTTGTCCACTGGGTCAATCAGCTGCAGTTGTATTACTTACATCAGTTAATTCTGAATGGATAAATTTAACATAAGGCACCATGCAGAAAATGAGAGGTAAATTACAAAATCTGAAATGAAGAAATCAACGGTTCTTTATTCCTCAATTCAAAAGACAGGTGATGTTAATGAAACGTTTAACTGAGTTCAGAAGTTGATGAATAAATCTAATTGTAGAAAACTAAAAGAATAAATGGATGCAGAGCTTGATCATGCACTTACAGCAACAGTCACCTTAACAGAAGATATGAGTTGCCAACAGATAACTTTCTATTCTATCTTCCTGTTTATCTTTTCAATTAATTATATTTGGGTTTGAGCTCGATTTATCTATATTTGAGGTGATTCCAAAAATAAGCAAATTAAGTATTAAGTTGGTTAATCCTGATGTAAGCTAGCATAAATACTAAAATAGTAGTTAGTTATCTCCCCCTTCCTCTGGTCCCGGGGCAAGTGAATACACAGTTATTTACATCAATAGGGCACATCTGCTTAGCATTATCAGTTGTTAAAGGATGGAAAACAGAATATAGAATGTAGGCACGGCTCACTTATGATCGACTCATAACTTCAAGGTTTCTCCGCTAAACCAAAAGCTGGACTTCATACATACGGAGTATTCACTTAATTCACAAAAAACACATTTAAAATGACTAATACTTGAGACTCCAAATGTTTATCTAGCGATCAATATGGAAAAGAATATCCTTGTACCTTAGTTTCAAATTTCTTACACTATGGTTCTTTTTATCCCCCCATACCTTGAGGGGATCAATGACCAGAGGCGCATTGAGTATGTAATCGATGGATTCAACTGAATTAGTATTTTTGACACATAAATATGTGAAAAACACTAAAGTTTGTTACAAATATTAAATTATTAACTCATAATTGTAGAAGTGTGGGGTTCAGATATAAGAACCTACAGGTTGAACGCATCATGCTTAAATTCTCTAATAGGTTCAATTTTTAGACGAGAAGGTCACGCACTTTAACATGGTCGTGCGTTCAAATCTCACATTACTTGCAGAATTTCCACCTACTTAGCTCATATATATAAGAAAGAATTAGTGCTTGTTGAAGATATAATTAAATAAATAAAAATATGTTATGTCTAACATATTAACCCATGAAAACCCCATCAACCAAGAATGTAAAGAGAAGTTCAATATGAATAGAAAAGCTGAAATTATATAAATTTACCAGTGCTGGTTTTTCAGGATGTAAAGCATCAGCAAGAAGGTAAGTATAGGTAGACGACTCCGTCTCAAATAACTGACGAAAAAGTAGTTTAGAAGGCGAAGACGACGTCGTGTAGGAACCCATTTTTTGTGAAAATGTAAAGCTATGAGGTTTTGGCAAGAAAATAGAGAAGTAATGTGATGATGTAGAGAAACGAAAACAGCGGAAACTCAGCATCATTATTAAATGGTTATGATTGTATTTGTATCAAATGTCAAGATTTCAAAACCAAAGAAGAAGTTGTGACCAATTTTCATTTCCATTAATGGGGATGGGTCATACGTGCTTTCCACGAAAGTTGATGCCACGAATCAATGAATTTACATTAATGGGGTCATACGTGTAAAAAAATTAGTTTTCCCTTTTCAATATATTTGCTCGACAAAATTAATGGACTAAAGTCGAATAAAATTAATAAACTTCTACATATTTTTATTTGATTTATTTTCTTTTCTTTTTGAAAGTTTTGAGTAGAGATGTCAACTGTATATAAAAAGAGACAGCTTAAGCACCAGAAACGGCAGAATATGAGTATGATTTAATAGTTGATATAGATTCAAAAAAATTATACTTTTGCTTACTAACAATATAGTAGTTTATCGAGATATGATCTGATTTGATCAGTTAAAAAATTGTATAGGTCTGAACATGTGGATGGAAACTAATAATTTTTGTCTCATCAGGATGCAATAATCAAATTAGTGTTTCTTTTTTCAGTTTTCCACGACAATGGACTTAATTTGAAACATCTCTTAACTATCAATTTTTTTTATTTGGAATTAAAGAACCAGTAATAAATGATAAGAAAAAAAAACTGTAAGGAAGGTTCTAAGAAACTAATTGAAATTGATATCATCTCAATCTATCTTTGTAATCTTAATTATAGTGTAGGGGTAGATGAAGATAATACCAAGTCTTGCCAATACGTCATAATTTGTAAGCAATTTAACGAGACATGTAAATAAAGATAGCAGCAAGTCTTGCCAATGCATCAACGAACTATTTAATAAAATATAGGTCGAATGAAGATAATCAAAAATCTTGTGAGTTCGTCATCTTTAAGAAGAGAATTTAGAAAATGTTTGAAAAACGTGATTCGATTTAAGGTTCTATCTGAAAGTACAAAGAGGAAGGGTGAATTGTATGCCTATTAAAAATTTAGTCGACTATAGTTGATTATATTTTGGATGTAGTCGACTGATATAGAGATAACCTGCACAAAATTGTTAGTCCATTCAATTTAAACAACTATAAATCACAACAAACAGTACAGGTACAAAATATAATATGAGAGCAACAAAGTAAATGACACCAGGAATTTTTATACTGGTTCAGAACCAATGTGGTATCCTAATCCAGTCTCCTTGGTTGCAAGGAGGTTATCTCTTTGAGCTCTTTATAATTTGAATTGAGTACAACCTTTGTGGTTTTCACTTGCTCACCAACAACGAACAAGGATTGGTTTTGACACGCTCACCAACAACGTATAAGATTGGTTTTCACTCGCTCACCAACAACGACACTTTGGTTTTCACTCACTCACCAAAGAGACGAACAATGACACAACCTCTCAGTAATTTTTTCCTTTCTCTCTATCTTTTATGACACTTGTAAACTTAAGAACACGTTGTTTTACTAAGGTACAGAAAGAGTAGGAAAGCTGTCTGCGATGCTGGTGCCTTTCTTCTTCCCGAGCTGCTCCTATTTATAATGCCTTCGATTTTGACGGTTGCTATAGCAAATCTTAATCCTTTTGAATATTCCTTTAAGTTGCTTTGTCAGCAAGATCCTTTTCGCCTTAGTGAATGGATGGATATCTTCGTTCTTGAAGATCTTCAATCAAGTTAAGTTTATTGACTTCAATTGTATTCCAAAAGATTTGAATGACATGGGAATCGTATTGATGAAGTCTAAAATATATCTTGCTATAACTGAACCTCCTTGATTCTTATTCAAAGACATACTTCAATATTCTTGATAGTTCTCCATGTACTCAAGTTGGAGATAGTAAGTGATTACTATTTCCTTCTTTGACTCACAACAGATTCTTTTCCCTATTAAATATGGGTCTTCTTTTATTTGTTGCCTTGATAACCTCTTTGTCTGGATCTTCTTTTTCCTTTGTAGGGGATCTTGAATTGACCTTCCTTTAATAGGCTTGTGTAAGAATCTTCTTGGTCTTCAAATAATTTTCCCCAGTTAGTAAGTAATCTTCCTTGATAAAAAATATTCCTTTGATAGCCTCGAACTCTATAGAATCGATCCCTGTATATTTTCTTTCTATTTGAGCATCCAAAATATATTCTTCAACATCTCATATTTCCTTAACTCTTGATGCCTTTTCTTTTAGAATAACAAAATTCTTTGAACTCCTCTTCTTATGGTAGCTGTACAGATATGATCTCTTATTTAAGCAATCCTAAGAGAATTTCAAGGTCCTCTAACTTTGACCTTAGATTTTGACTTTTGTCTCCAATATGAATATCTTAATGACCATTTATTATTTCCAAACTACGAAAATAATTTCTTTTTGAATATATCTCATATATTTTGTCTCCTTTCTTGAGTAAAAAATCAGCATTAGACTTCTTCAATATTTTCCTTGATTGTTGTAAGTAAGAATCTTCCTTGTATGAAATCTTCTTCCTCCAGTGCATTAGTTTCCTTCTTTGGCATGGTGAAAATTTCTTTTTGCCCTTAACTCTTGCCTCTTGATTTATGTACTTGAATTAATAATCCAATCAAATTCTTCTCCATTTAACCTGTCAAAAATAAATTCACACAAGTAAATATTCTTTGATTAAAACTTATGTTGGTTTGGTATCATCAAAATCAATACGTGAAACCTTAGGGCTAACAATCTCCCCCTTTTTGATGACGGCAAATCATTAAGTACAAAACATGAAACTTAATCAGAGACTTAATTAAAATGCAGTAAACGGATAAGTTAGATAAACTGGAAACTGGTTACTTCCCTGAAATGTCGAGCTTTCTCTTTAATGTATCAATGCCCGTGACAAGTAAATGCTCCCCCTTGCTCTTACCGTTCCTTCGTCATGCTCCCCCTACCTTCATGCGTCTTATCTATAAATTTGCAAGGAAAGATTTGTACCATATATCTTCTCTCCCTTTTGTCATCATCAAAAGAGTGGAATAACTTGTAGGGAATATGCAAACACATATTTGTAATCAAGGTATAAATAACATACAAACAATTGCACATACTACTCACATATTCAATTTAAAGTATGACTATAACTTATAATTATTCAAAGAGTTATAAACAATCATGTAATAAAAATCACCTTTAAGAAGCTTAGAAAGAAAAAATCTAATAGAAGTTTGAGTTAGTTGAAAGCACTTAATCTGATCAAATAGTCCAAAGCATTAACGCAAAACTAAAGAAATTATTAAAAAACATGTTTTAAAAAGGAGAGGAAAACTATTTGCCTCAACAAAAATACAGAGTAGCAGAAAATACTTTGAGTCCATTAAGAAGTTTGTGACTCACTCAAATATTATCATAGACTTGCAAACCCACTGCCATGAAAAAATACAAGATGACATCATTGCCATACCAACTTCTTCCGTAAATGTGAGGAAATATCTGCAAGAAGATGGTCAATGTCCTCCAGGTCACAAGAAATCTAATGATATGTGTTATGCCTTGTTCTCTAGATTGCTTTTGCCTTTTTCATGACATGAGAATTTCAAAAAAATCTCTATGCCAATTTTTCTATTTCAGTCCACTTTGTTACTTGCAAGGTTTGCATCTGAGTATATCTTACTAGATCAAAGCAATTAGTTCTTGCATACAATAAGCCATAATTTAGAATGTCAACCAAAAATCTTTTGTGGCACTATAAAGAGATATTATGGGATCAGGTATACAAAATATCTATTATAAAAATGCAATACAAAGTCGATCATATCTTGGTACTTCATTCGATCGGTGGACTTACTAATTTTTTCCTTGCTTTGCATTATTTGGAACGTGAAGATGAAGGTTAATTCTTTATCAGCTCATCTCGAAATCGATCACTTTCCATAAGATTAAGAAATACTTGACATACTTTTTATTAGAGTTATCAACAATGCTATTATTATTAACAAGTTAGTGCACTTGTGACTCAAGATCATGCATTTGAATGAAGTATTGATACTTTCACCAAGAGAATGGATATTAAAAGTAATTCTCTTCACAAATTATCTTAGGCTCATAACGACATGAAAGGAATGCATGCATGGTTGCTTATCCTAATGCTTATACAAATGACATGGTTCATGCGAGATATAAATTCGTGCTATTCAAAATCTCTAAGTCAAGGATAAGATTAACACCAAACATAATAGTAGTATGATGCAGCTAGTTGACTTAAGCAATATGTAGTAGTACATATCATATTATACTTAACAAAAAAATGTTACTAGATACGTATCACCTTATAAAGCATCCGAAGGAACTTGAATAACCTTTAGTGATACCAATCACTTAAACTTTACCATCACATGTAATAGCTCCTTCATCATTTATAGAGTATGTATGAACTTTAAAGCATCTTTAAGCATGTGCATTGTCTAGCCGTTATGCAAATGTTATTTATCCCTTTTTATGATTGGACTTAGAATTCCTGCAAAACAAATTAATTTATTTTTGATACCCAAATCTTTTTGGGTCCTTCATGGTTAGTAGCTTGTGTAATTTGAGATGCATGTAACTGTTTAGGTCTCCAAACATATTTTGATCTAACATGACTTCTAGCATAAATGCATTTAAATATTTTATGTCCAAAATTATGACAGTAGTGGCATATAATATGAGAAGAAGAGTGTTTACCTGCAAATGCCTTATTAGTTGACTTGTAACTTCCTTCAGTCAACTTGTTTAAAGTAGAAAGTTTGCCAGTAGACCCTTTTTCAGCCGACTTATAGCTGTTAAGCCAAGGAGACGACTTTGATCGATCAAAGTAGTGGTCGGGGAATTTGTGCAAGTTGCTTATTTGTTTGCGAAGTTCAAAAATTTCTTCTTGAAGTAAGCTCTTCTCCACCAGATATTCTTCAAGCTGAATATCCCAGTCTTTCTTTTTTATTTCTCAACTTGTTATATTCTTCAAGTTGGATCTCCCAATATTTCTTCTCATATATCAACTTGTTAAATTCTTCAAGTTGATCTCCCAATTCATCTTCTCTTTCCTCAACTTATTATATTCATTGAGAACTTTCTCAAGGTTGTTGAGAACCAATTCAATATTTTCCTGCAATTCATCA